AAACAACCTTCAGCAAGTTAAACCGTCAAATAAATCATCCCGTTTCTAACAACGCTGTCAATTCGAGATGGGTCACGTTGTTGTTATTGCGCTGTAACCAGCCCCACACACACGTGTCTGTTTTTGTGGAACAGAATGTACCGTGAACTAGAAGTGAACTTGAACGCCTCCCTACGATGCTGAAAGGACAGTGCAAGCAACACTTCCGCTCTAATGCAGAGTCACGCTTATGTTTCAGCTGAACAGTAGCCTACGCATGTCGTTTCCGATCTCATTCTCAAGAAGGATCTGTTCTTTGGAATTTCGGGATGTACAGTACCAAAGCTGGTAAAAAAAGCTGTAGTAAAGATGCACGAGGCATAAGCACCTCCCTGTAGACAGAGACATGGGACTAAATAGCACAAGTAGCCTAAATAAAAAAATTATTTTGGAATAATTCGTTCAACATGTTCGCCTATTTTATCCCAAAATTCGTTTTTCCACGCCATCACTCAATATGGGTCCACACTAACAAAATAAAGTGCCAAATTTATATTCTAAATGTTTTTGTAATGCAAATGAGGGAAATAATCTAAAATGGCCACACTCACCAAAGACTGTGACCTTGTTGAACTCAATGAAGGCTGAAATAGACAAGGAGCTGTGAAACCTTATATATGTTTGTATCTTTCAACAATCAGCAAGTAAATAATAAACCAGGTGCCATTCTCTGGAAATAATGTGACAAGCTCCTAATAATTACACTGAAACTCCATAAAGCGAACGATCATTTGTCCTAACAAAAAATGAAACACAATGATGTTTTGAATTATATATATTCTTTTATTTGTTATTACATGCCAAACATCTTATTCACATTGAGGAATACAGTATACACATTTGTATTTGCATCCAAATACTTAGCCTTTTACTATAGGACATGAGTCCTCGGATCCCGCTGTCTGTTTACTCATCTCTCAACTTGGATCTTTTGGAAGAACAACATGCATTTTAAAGACACTAAGTAAATTAAGACCTTTCCGTTCAAACTACAGCATTATTGCAGAAAACATGTGCTTGTACTTGTTAGCAGACAAGTGCTCACCAATAAGTTTAAAAAGAAGTGGGGGGGGGGGGCTTGACTAAAAGTGGTATACAATTCACAACCTTTTATGCTACAATATAGGAAAATATTAAGAAAATACTGTACATAAAGTTATAAGTCGTCATGTCGTTTTGGCACACTGGGTAGGTTGTCATAGTGTAATGTCTTCTATCAGACACAGAAACGTTTTCTTAAAATCCTATCATTAATATATTAAACTCATTTTTTACATCCACAGAAAGATTTACACATCATATACAAAACATTTACATGTGGAAAAACAAGTGTCATAAATATGCTCTGTCTTCTATCCCAAACAAAAACTCTTAACGAGAGCAAAACAGGCGATAGTTAGATAAACTTGCATTCATTAACTTCATAACACCCTCTTCTTTTGCTGGAACCAGTCCAACAAGAGGGTTTGTCAAATGACATTACCCAAAATAATACAGCATGGACATATTTTAAGGGCCCATGTATTGTTCATGTATTCATTTTACCCCTATTTTAAAGCTCTTTGCAGTATAATCACCTTGTAGAAGTGTAAAAGAGGAAATCAAGTTTGAAATCAAATAAAAAGCAAATCCGATCGACATAGTGAATTTCATACTAATATTGATATTAAGATCATTGGATATATGAAAACCACAGTGATTAGAATTACTGCTATGCACAAAAAATAAAATCATGTCTTTTATTATTTAGCTTTTGGTTCACATACAAGCTCTAACACCTAGTATACATTTCAACATCTCAGAACACTGTGACTGTAATAAATGTTTTCAAATCTCTTAGCAGTATTGCACATTGGTAAGGCAAATAAAATACATCCTATGAGTGATACGTGTGGTGGAATCAGAATGGCTGGAGTAATTCATTTACTAAAAAGTGACTATATTGAATAGTATAGTACACTGGATTTATGCCAGAGATACAAATCACATTTCTGTATTGCTTTAAACCCGCACTGTTTCATTTGATTTAAGTTGAAAAACAATTTAAAACAGTGTATTGTAGAGTAGTAAATAATCTGCTTTAATTAAAAGTGATTGATTTATATGCATTCGTTAAATACAAGTCTGTCCAGATCTCCTTATCCTTCTGAACACCCACTATAATACAATAATTTTTTCCATCATAAACAATAAACCAAACATAAATATATATCTTAATTAACCATAAAAGAGGAAGAAAATTGCCAAGGCATATAACTTGCTTAAAATAGAAGAGAATATGTACTAGTGTTCATTAAAGACATATATAACATTGAATGGGTCCCTGTCTCAACTGTGCTGATGTGCTTTTAATATCTTTCCAAATTAAACACTGCACTATCAGATTGATTAGTGATGAGATTGGTGTGCATATTGAACTCCTGCTTTAAAGTGCATAACACTTCTTACTGACCGACCTACCAACTCTCTGTGGTGTCTTGCATAGCAAGTTAACATATAGTACCTGTTCTGTGTAAAACAACATACACTCATATAAAGACAACCAGGCTTTTTGCTTTAAAATCCATTTTGGAAAGGTTCTCTAAACATTTTAACCCTTGCAACAGTCTGAAAAGTATGTTTGGAATGGCATACTATCATACTACTATATATTTTTGCCACAGCAGCACTTTTTTTGTATGAATGGACATACTTAAAAGACCTGCTACCTGTGCAGAATACAATCTGAACACACTGCATAATAGTGTAGCCGACAATTCAGTGTGCTTGACTTTTCATTTGGAGTGTGACATTTTTATACAAAATTGAGATAAATACGTATTTCAAAATTAAACTTGCAATATAGTCATGTTATGTGACAACAATGTAGCATACTACTGTTTGAAACATTTATCATCATATACTCTTTACTTCCTACCACATACTATTATTAAATAGTATGCAGTATACAGTATATACAGCCCAGTAAGCAGTAAACTAGCATTCCATACCAAACATGCTGTTAGTGTAGGGTTCAACCAGTTACTTTTATTTAAATACACTCAAATGGGCACCCTGCTGTGATATATTTGGAACAAAACAGACTGCAAAAGACAAAACATGATCATTTAACACTTTAAAATTTGTTACCCGTTTAATAATGAGAGTGGAAATTCTGCACAAACTTTTGCTGCATTCAGACACCTCATATAACATAACTGACTGCTGTGTGACTATGACGCTTTTTGAATGCAGATGTATACACCCACATGGGCCAAGAGATATTTCAAGGCTCCAAGAAGGTTAATCCTTTCATAATAAAACGAATTATACTCCACATTCAACATGTTAGGGAAGATATGTGTATGTTTGTCTAACTGGTTTGTGGGTTTTAACTGACAGAACAAATCTTCGTATACACAACAAACGTTAGCATTACATTTTTGTAACTGTCAAAGTCCTGTTTTCATTTAAGTTTAAAATTGTTTTGGAATTAAACCATCACTCTATCTGGCCTGTAGGAGATACACAATAAATCAGTCAATAAAGAGAGAACATGATTCATGCTGTGACGTGGGTGACTCACCTAAGCTAAAACAGTCATTTGCATTGCAAGGTTATGTGAAGGCCTGTTCACACCAACACAAATGTTCGGCACAAAAATTCAGTTGCAACTGCAATTTGTCTGTTCAGACCAATGCAAAAAAAAAAAAAAAAGGCGGGCTGGCTGAAAGAAAATAAAAAATCGCTCACAACCGCATTCTCGGAGCACACGCGCTGTGTGAACGGAACAGGACTGGACAACTAGTTGTCTGTCACGTCATGAAGTGCGAGAGAGAACCGCTCTGCTGCACAAACGCGTGTCTACCGTGTTTTCAGTAATTTACGGTGACGGAGAAATTAGCTGCGTGTCTGTCATCTGAAATTTTTAGATCCCGTCAGTTTTCCACCGGAGCCGCTACCGTCAGTTTTGTGTTCTGCTCGAGACTCAAATACTCCGCACTCCACCAAAATTCAAAGGGGTCATATGATGCGATTTCAAGTTTTCCTTTCTCTTTGGAGTGTTACAAGCTCTTGGTGCATAAAGAAGATCTGTAAAGTTGCAAAGACTAAAGTCTCAAATCCAAAGAGATATTCTTTATAAAAGTTAAGTCAGCCACATACCTACCTAAAACGGCTTGTTCTAACAGCCCCCACATATCTAGGTCACTATGTGGAAATATTAGCATAATGCGCCCATATGTGCACGCAAAGAAAGAAGGCGTAACTTAAAAATATTTGGCTGCACACATTTCTGAAGCACACCTGTCAAAGAGAACTAAGTCAAATTTTTGATATTTGTATTTACATGTTTTCAAACAGGCGTTCAGATTATTATTTTTTTAATTCGCTATGGTGTTTATCAAACAACACCAAATCAAAAGTACAGAGCCATTAGAGCCAGTTCCAGATCTGCTATTTAATGTTTCTTTGTAAATAGCAGAGGAAGGATCTGCATAATGGTCTGTAGGTGAGCGCCACTAAAGCAGAGGTCACACTTTCTTCAGGAACTGCAACAATCATGATATGAGGTCACACTCTGCAGCGTCTTTTAAATTCAACACACAACAATTAATAATAAATCTACAATGTAAAAACATACAATCTACTCCACTTTCCTGTAGCACTGCAGTTTTAAATGTATGTTCTTTTAATTCAGCTACGAGGCCATGCCGTTACGTATCAATCTTCAATTGGTCACACACTTTCACGGTTTCAGAGTTCACCAAACTTGAACTTTGGAATGCAGCGAAATGCAAAACTTCTTTGCATGAGTGACCAACCCTTAAGTTGTAGTTTATGTAACAGCAGTGGCTGTGGGCATGTGACCAAAAAGCTTATTGGTTGGCCAGTTTTCTTTGCAGTGCAATGGAATAGATTACAAAAACTCTCCAAAAATAAAATTCTGCATTAACTGCCATTCATTCAAATGATTATATTTATCATACCGAACATTCATCATAGTGTTAACAGGCCCTTAATCTCAAGGTTTTCCTCTCAACTGGGTACTAATGTTGGCCTAATGGCAGTGGTCATCTTCTGAATCTATGAATACTAAAGAAAATCTGACTTTGCATTGCAGTGTTATAACAGGAAATTAACAGGAAGTTGATACCCATGATAAAACATTCCAGTGTACAGCTAATTACTCATTCAGACAGTACTAATTAACGGACTGGCCCTTGGATTTTAAACGAGGTAGAGCCATCCTACAGGAACTAGATCTACAATGGCATCACTACTGGTCTGCCATCATCACGTGTAATTGTGTCTGCTATCAAAACTTCGGAATTCTGAGGGTTTGGCCAGTTTCCTCATGGACAGCGAGTCTGTCTTACCCTCCAGCCTTGCCCCGGCTCTGGCCTTCTGGAAAGGATTCCTGGAGCTTCCACGACCCTTGTCCATTTTCTCACTAATGGAGAAGCTCTTTCGGGAGTAGATGTTGGAATGCGACTCCTCCGAAGAGGAGTAGCTGTTTGCACGCTCTAGTCTAGATATCGGCGAGCAAAACGGGCCCAGTGCGAGGCCCAGGCCCAGGTCTGCGCCTATTCTGCCACTGCTGCTTTGACCCCCCTTAACTGTGTCTGCTGACCCCTCTGCGGGTTCCTCTGGATCAGATTCTGCATGACTGAGCTCAGCATCTCTCTCAGGGTGTGAGACGCCCAGGTCCTGGGGCTTATCGAATGTGAAAGAGCCTCCAGGTGAATCAGACCTCTCTGGGACAGGGTAAGGGGTAGAGACGCAACGGGTGTCGATGCAATCTGTTATGCTGGTATATTCGGCTGCCTTCACCTGCACGCCCATGCCGCCATAGTAACCACGTGACGTGAACATCAGGCTGTGCGACTTAACTAATGGCGGCTCGTCCAGAAACAGAGGCCCTGCTGTGGATAGGAAGCGGCTGCTCTTGGACCGCTCAAGAGCACCAGCCGATGGTGGCGGCGAGGGGTCCATGTCCCAGGGGGGCAAGGTATCTGGCAGCAGGTGGGCAGAGCAGAGCGATAGGTCAGCAGCAGCGCTGTCCTCAAACAGGACCGTGCCATCCGACTGTCTTTCGCTGCCCCCTGCCCTTCCACTGCAGTCCCGCCCCCTTGAGAGCACCACCTCCATGATCTCAGAATGGAGAGATGAGTCTCGAGCAAGAGACGGAACTGCCCGGACCGGCTCCAAGAAGCTCTTAGTGGGCGGGACGTCCTCTGAGGCAGAAACATAGATGTCTATACAGGAAGAAGGGCGTAGCTGCTGGTCCACAGATAAAGTATTCAAAGGTGTGGGCTTGGACTCTTTGGGACCTGCTCCTGAGGACACAGACTGTGAGCTGTTGGCCCGATGGAGGCTGAACAATCTGTCTTTAAGGAAGCCTTCTCCTCGATCTGCACCGCTCCTATCCTTGGAGGAGTGGCTTACATAGAAGGAGTGACTGCGGACACGTGGGGCCAGAGTGGTTGGAGATGTAGGGGAAATGGACTCTTCGCCACCCTGCTCCAGAGACTCCTGTAGCCTGTTGGAATTGCCTTCTTGGCTGTTGAAACTGCTCTGGCGCAGGATGTAATTTGTATCTGTACAGTCAGATGATGTCCTGGACCGGGCTTTGTTGACTTCACCTCGATCCATACCAGCAACCCGCTCCAGTGCCACAGCGATGCGGCCGATCATCTCCTCCATCTGGGCGAGCCGGATATCCACAGTCTGCAGGGATGCTTTCATGAAATGTTCCCTCTCATTCACTTCCTCCAGACGCATTGCCATGTTCTCCACCCTGAATGATCAGAGATGAGACAATTCCATGAATATTTGTAAGGCCATTTCCAAAAATCTACATCTAGTAATGTTGTGTTGGTTGCACTTCATATTACATTTTTGTTCAAATAAATGTAGCCCTGGTCAGCATGAGAGGCTCAAAAACAAAAATCTAACCAATCCCAAATCCCTTTTGAACATTAGTGTACATAATTAAGTGCTTATTAATAGTTATGAACATTAAAGTAATATGTTTTTTTTAAATTATATATTACTTTTTGTATTGTATACGTTTAAATGAAAATTGTGGGGGCCACAAGAGGTTTCTAGAGGGTTTGCAGAAAATTTGAGAAAATTAGAAAAGAAAATGAGTTTACAAAATTAATTTTCAGGGTTCTCAAAGTTAACATGTTACAAACATTTATTATATATATTTAATGCAATATCTTTTTAACATGCTGTTCTGGAATGAAATATATTTGTGAAAAGAGCTTTACAAATAAATCTGAACTGAATTAAAAACAGGGTATCTGCAGGATTTTAAAGCTCAAATTTAAGACTTTTTAAGACCTTTTTTAAAACCTGCACAAATAAAATTAATATCATATGAGCGGGGTAGTTCAATGTCTATGGTAACATATTAAACTCTAAAATGACAGTAAAAAGCATGATTTACAGTTCAGATACAGGTTTTTTACAAAAACAAAAAGTTTTATAAAATGATAAACTTCACATTTCAGCCTTTAAACAGTTTTTTTTTAAAAATGGATGAGTTACAAAAGTATCAATTAATATATTAATTTAAACAATTATTATCAATAAATTTTTATATTAATTAAATAACCTAATTATCAATCAATTATATTAAACAACATAGAAATATAAGCTATTTTACTGTCTTAATTGTTAATTTTTTTTATAATGCATTATCTTCTTGACGATCCACCAGTTCACATTTACAACTCTGCGTGTTTGCAGAGTTGTAAATGATTTTCACATTGATCCGAGCAAAAACAGCAGACTGGATTATTGAAAATGTAAATTCATTCTCTGCCAGCAGGAGGCGCTTTTGGAACTGCAGAAATAGAACTGTTTCCCCGGTAACAGCAGTACACAAAGCATGTTTACTTAATGAAATCAAAGCCTTTTGAAGTTTAATCGTCACATTAAGCCTTATAGCAGTTCTACTCTTTCTGTCCTCAAATTTAAAACCTCTTAAAATCATAATTAAGACTTACTTGTACCATTTAAGACTTTTTATGGTCTTGAATTTGATACTTTTTAAGACTTGTAAGGACCCACGGAAACCCTGAAAAATGTTTCTCTTCAGGTTTATAAATTTAAAATGACTCCAATGATGGTTAGAAAAATAAAATGCAATGTCAAAATAATTTTAATTGGCTGTGGCTTCAGTGACCATGTAAAAGCCAATTCAATAATTTTGAACACAACTTCTTCAACTTCAATTCTTAATATTTTTCTCACAAAGTATAAATGGGTCTGTATACATGAAAATATATACTGCTTATATATTTTAGGAAGGGGATCTCTTGCAAGGGGATGATCATATATGGGGGGTCCATGCCATAAAACACTTGAAGACCTCTGGTTTAAAATAGAGTTAAAAGTGTTAATGTTCTGTTGTGTTGTCTGAAATGTTTTAACCTTTCAGATGTCACACGTATCCTCTCATCGTTGGAGGAATTGAAGCGGTCATCTTTCTCTCTGAAATACTCCTCCATGCACTGCTCTTCAAAGTCATGTACCTTCTTCAGTTCATCTTCAGTAATGAAGAGTTCTGTGGGGGGTGGGGTTGCCACTGTCACTTTTTTGTATCATAACAGTGAAGTCAAAGTGTTTGCTGTTTAATTTAATTTAACTTTTTATTTTAAAATGTTTAAACCATGTCTTTACCGCACTGTAATACAGTATAATAGTATTCATACCATTAATATGCAGTATACGTTGTGTAGCATATGTACTTTTGCATGGCAGTATAAGATACGAAAGTTAATGATTTCGAACAGAAATATCTCACTATTACAAAATAATCATGTTTGGCAAAAGATGGTATCAAAGAGAATATTTAAGTCGACATGTGCTGGTTTCACTCTCATTAGCTGTATGATCTGAGAAAAAAAATCACTCCTGCTGTCATTTTAAGGCTTTCAGTATATTGCAACAGCATTTTATCACTCACTCAGCCCGTAGTCCCGCTCATCCTCATCATGTTTCCTCCAGCGACAGCAGAGGTGTTTGAGGACCATAGTTATGTGGCTGAAAATGATGAGAGGAGGTGGAAGGACAGGCCGTTCATGGAAGGTCATAATCAGCTGGTACCTCTGGAACTTCCACACCTGGTTGGAGATGGACTTCACTTCAAAGAATGTGTTACTGTGAGAATAAAAGACAATATTAGCAGCATACAACATTGTTTTACTCATCTCAGCCTCAAAAGGTGTTCTCATGGACCACCCACAGTCCGTTCGCTGATGCATAATACAAACAAATCTGCAAAGCACTGAAAAAAATTGCAAGTTACAATCAGATTGCCGGACTTAATTATGCCAATAGTCAAAAGGCTGGTATTTGTAAGTAATAAGATATATTTTTTAGTGTGTCCATTGTTTAAAAAACACGTATAATATAAATATTCATTTCACTTACTTAAAGACAGCAATGAGCAAATTAACCAGAAGGATGTTGGCCACCAGCAAGTAGCAGGCCATGATGGCGGGGACAATCCAAGCTCCAGTTTTGCAAGGTGGGAGAGGCATGATGACTCCTTCCTCTGTGGTGATGTTCTGACCACATGGAGCTATTAAAATAAACATACAACTGAGTGTTGCCCAAATATAAATGAACTGTTTAGAACAAACCAATGGCAAAAAAAAGGTCACTTTAGAAAATGCACCAAGTTGTGGAATTCAAATATATTAAAAATATATTCCATATGTAAAATTGCAAATCCAATATATTTAAACATATGCAATGTTTAAAATATATTGATATTAAATGTACAGCAGTCTTTTTGATGGTTGCTTGTAGCGCAGGTTAGAATGTATTGACAATACATCATTCGTTTTTTCCAAATGGGATGGTTCAGTTGCTGTAGCTTTCAAAGAGAGGAAAGTCAGTCAGGTTCATATTAATTTACATATTTCTGAGTACATTTACTGGTTTCAATATTTAAAATCACACCCAGACGCCCAAAGTGAGAGAACTGAAGTAACATTGGTTATCTTAAATTCGCAATTATTTATTTTCATTTCTTTTTCTTTTTAAATTCCAAATTCATTCTGCCAAAAACTCTGACAACTGAACCACGTGAAAAAAACTTTCATATTGATGAGAGGAGGCGAATGCATCTTGTTGTTAAATGATGTTCAGCGGACATATGAGATGGTCTTTCCAGAAACACAATATTTGGAGCTTATTTGAGGACACGCAAATGGGCACGGATGCTCATGCTCTATTCAATATGCATAACACGTAATATCAAGCCAGTGGATTTTCCACCGCTAAGTTCAAGTTTATATTGTGAAAAGAGAAGGAAATTACACCAGAGCAATGGGATGTCAGTCAGTGCTAGCTGGCTGTGGGAGGTTCATGATGGTGACTTTAGCATTATTCAAGTTTCCAGTTTCCATGATAGGGTTTTTTTTTAAAACGGCAATGGGACCTTGACAATTTAGTTGGCATAGCACCTTGAACATTTGCCCCACCACGGAAACCTAGCCATTTGCCTTGTAGTGCAGTGCAGGGGTGTCATACACTCAATGACCACCAGGGGCGGATATGAGGTGATGATATGACTCTGAAAGTATAATGGCTCTGGTGAGTGAGATAATTCTAGCAGAATTTATATATTGGAAATTGCCTATATGGGATGGACCACTGTTACGCCCAGTTCCTTGAATGCGAATGTAATTTTCGACCAGCCAGAGTTTGTCATTCACTTTGTGATGTAGCTTCCTACTATTCACATCTGAAACAAAGAACGAAATCGTTATTTCAGCTCTCTTATCTTTGGGCCATCCATCTCTCAGCACACACACAAACAAACAATTGACAGTATGCAGACAACAAGCAAACACACTACTTAATGAGAAAACACAAAGACACGCTTATACAAACTACAGCATACACTTCATACACAAGTCCTCGTGACTGATGCACTGCATTACTATGAGTGTACTGATTTATTTCAGGCATAAGATGTAATATCATAAATCTGACAAGAGACAATAACAACATTACTGCTGCAAAACCTGATTGGTTATAGGGTAAGATGGTGTAAGATACAAGTCAAACATCTTTATTGTTCATCATAACCTATAATTGGGTAGAATCATTCAGTCTGATAATAATTGCCACTATGAAAATAGGCTCACCTTTGTATGTATCTTTTTGACTGTCATTTGATTCTTTTTTATTCAGTCTGAGTGAACTAAATGGTTACTATGCATGGTTCAAATCATAATTAAATATTTTTAACGATATATACTACTGTTCAAAAGTTTGAGAGTAAGATTTATTCTAAACAAATTTTACATTTTAATAATTAATTTACTTTTTAATATAATAAATGTATACTTTTGAATAAAATGTTTTTATTCAGTAAGAACACATAAAATTGATCAAAAGTAAAGGTAATGACTGTCAAAAAACAAAACTATTTCAAATAAATGCTACAGTATTCATCAAAGAATCCTGAAAAAAAAAATCTACCATGGTTTTCACAAAAATATTAAACAGCCCAAATGTTTTCAACATTGATAATAATAAAAAAAAATTCCAGAGCACCACATCAGTATATTAGAATGATTTCTGAAGAATCGCGTGAATCGCACTGAAGACTGGAGTAATGATACTGAAAATTCAGCTTTGCCATCACAGGAATAAAGCACATTTTAAAATAAAATATATAAATATTCATATATATTATATATTATTTTTAATTGCAAAAATATTTCACAATATTTTACTGTATTTTTGTCCAAATAAAGGTAGTCTTAATAATGAGCATAAAAGACTTCTTTCAAAAACATCAACAAATCTTACCAACCTCAAACTTTTGACCAACAGTATGAAAAATGACATCAGAAGTACATTATATATCCCAGGGAGATCTTACTCCAATGCTACTTTATATGATTTTCAATTTTGTGCTCAAACACAATGGTTCTCAACTGGGGGTCCACAGGAAACTTCCACGTGGGCTGCAAGATTAAAATTTGTATATTATTAGCTTTAATATCAGAATACTTTAACAATTAAAATGCCAAAACATATCATATTCAAGACAGTTAACATGCATGTAGACAATTTTCATTATATCCCATCAAAATATACCGCTAACTAATATATATATATATATATGATGCTTCTCCATCTGCAGTCTTACAATGAACACATAAAACCATTCTGAAACAGCAGCATTGATCCATATCATCCTGTAATGACAATATAAGTGCAGCCATTTACAGAATATGAGACCATTTAAGAGCACACACACGAGCACAACTATGCATCACAAAATCTGATCCAGACTGTTTCAGCTTTTAAATGTGAAGCTTTCGTCATATCTGTGGGAATGTTTATGCTTTCAGAGAACACCACATTTGTTCATACAAGCTGACCAATAATGAGATGTAAAGCACTGAGGTGCTGTGCTTGAGTGTGAAATTGAGTATACCCAAAATGCCCATGCCTGTACCCAAGGTTAATGTTAGTAATAAGCCAGCCTTACGGTCGATTTGGTCAGCAAACACCTCTCCGTAGATCATCCAATAAGGCATGAAGAAGATGTTGCGTGCCAGCATCCAGGATGGGTCCTCATTGGGATTGAGGATAGCCTGCCGCGCCACTCCGAAACTCATCAGCACCACCAACATGATGATCACAAAATACATCATGTCAATCATCTATGAAAAAAGAAAGATCGAGAGCATTAGAATTCATGTTATACATAAGACATTTTTACTTTAAAGTACAATTATTAAACCTCTCTATCAGTCTCTCTCACCATCTTGCCGATCATCATGACGTATGGACCCAGGTATTTGTTCACTCCAAAGATGTCAAGCAGTCGTATGTACCAATAGATGATATTGACACAGTAAATGACCCTCCCGTAGCTCATCAGGGGCGGGTCTTGGAGGCGAAGCACCATTCCGATGGAGAAGATGAGGATGGCCATGAGGTCAGTGATGTTCCAGTACTCCTGCAACCACACTTTCACCTTCTGCAGGAGCTTCCCTGGCTCTGACATGAGGATCTGAGAGATAGGAGCAGTGAAACAGTAAAGCACACTGAGTGAAAGCCTTCATGTTGGACAAATGACCTTTTCAAAACAACTCTAAACAAAAATACAGTAAAAACAGTAATGTTGAAATATTTTCACAATTTATAATCACCGTTTTCTATTTTAATATAGCTTAAAATGCAATTGACAAAGGTGATTTTTCAGGATGGATATGTTGAGCAAATTAACTTTTCAAAACAACCACATGAAGCAAAAGCAGTTGCATTTACTAACTTCCACAAGAGGGCAGTAATAGACTGTTTATTTGAAGGAGTTCACATTTTGGTCTCCTCAACAGTTAAGTGTTTATAACTGAACTGCAGCTGTGTAATTATATGCCAATTTAATTATTAGACATTGCTTATGAATAATAAATCATCTTTTCCCACAATTTAGGGAATGAAGGAAACAATTTTCTTTGCTCACTGAGTTCTAATGAAGTCTCACCTCTCTCATCTTCTCTATGCCATTGGTGAAAATGTAGGCAATAACAATCCACTCCTGAGGAGAGGGCCACAGGTCCATCTTCACCAGAACAATATAGTTGAAGAGCATCAAGTATCCTACATAGGCCAACTGTGGGAAGACACAACATCATGATTAAGGGGGGGGAGGGAAAAAACACTCTTTGGTCTGTTTCAGCTGAAACAGTGAAACAGTGAAAGTCTATTAAATTCAGAGAATGCATGATCATGATTATTCTAATTTTACTTGCACCAAGTATACTTTACACCAAGCATACTTTAGAATTTTAGAATTCTTAATTTGATTTCTATTTAATTTTCCAAATACACTACTGCAGTAAATCTTACCCCAAACATTTGAATGGTATTGCATCTTACTTTATTTTTCAATACGTCTTATTAGAGTTTTCACTCTATCATAGTTTCTGGTTTCAGTGTCTTTAATTTTTCTTTTAGTTTTAAGGTTTTAGGGCTACCAAAGTTAATGCGGTAACTGGTATTATTTATAAACGTTTAACAGCATTACATTTCTTAACACAGTCTAGCAATATTGCCATCTGGTAACACGTTCATGTTAAATGCAGGCAGGTTGTGAAGTTTTCAAGTTTTATAATACACCATGTATCAAAAACTAAAATTAATTTTTGGTCAATTTTATTTCATTTTAGTTTCAGAGCTATGAAAATGTATTTTTTAGTTGTGTTTCAGTGTTTCCAATTAGAATTTGATTCAATTTTAAATGGAAAAAAATATTTAAAATGCTTTTTCAGTTTACACGTGCATGTTGTCTTTCAAAATCTCTGTCATGAAAACACTGTCAGGTTGATATTTTCAAGGTTCCGAGGATTAAATTTTAGAAACAGGAGGAAACATTTAGGCTTGTAATGCATCTTCTTTATACTTACTCTCCTTTATTGTACAAAGAAAGAAGCAGAAGTAGCTACAGAAGATGTTGCAGAAAAAGGAACTATTTATTTTTTCAGCTGGATCACCATAAAAACATAACATTGAGTTCTCACAGGTGTCTCAGGGTAAAGGTTTTTTTCCTTTTGCAACATTTTATTTTATTAATTAATTTATTTATTTATTTTTGTGAAAAGGTAGAAAGATTGGCACTATCACAAGCAGAGAACAGAAATACTGTTCAGTGTAAACACTACAACGTGACAGTGTGATGGGAAAGAGAGAGAGCACAAGCAACGAGAGGAGTGAGTAAATAAAGACACAGAACATGGAACAGAATTTTTCATCTTTAAGAGCCTGGAGATTTTTCAGATTCATGGCCTATAATTAAAACATAGATGAGGCCAACTAATAAAAATCTCAGCTGGTTTGATCTCTACTTGCCTGCATTTGCACATTGCTCATCCCCCTGGACTTGATATGATATCTATCAATATGAATTTCTCCACTTTATTTGAAAGTGAAAGATTTCAGAGGACATTTCTCTAAAGAATTCACACACAAGGTATTTTGAAGTTCATATACAGATTTGATATGCTAAACACACTGAACAATACTGTATGTCTTTTTGTACTAAATAAGGGCACAGCTTGGGCTTTTACCGTGTGAAACCAGAACTTGACGATAGGGGCGTTGTAAAACTCATAAATTTTGCGACCCACTGGAATCAGCCGATGGCGGTTCTGAACCTCTTCCACCTGTTTCTTACGAGACGCTTCTGAACTGACATTTCCCAGCATAGCCTGGGAAAAGTACAGAGGATAGAAAGAGGAGAAAGACAGAAAGCATTGCTTTTACACACCACTTACATAGTGTGACTTCTCACCCAGAATTGCATGCAGCTGTTTTAAACACTGCAAAGCAATACTGAGTGTCGAAGAAGGTGAGATATTCACTATGAACTGGGCATTGATGATTCCACTGGGAATGGTTGTGCGGAAAAAGAGAAAGAGAGAGTGTGTTCGAGAGAGAGAGGAAGAAAGAAAAGAGGAATGGAAATGCCCAGTGTCATGGGTTATTTGGACATCCTTAATCCAAGAGTGGGGAGCTTATCCCGTAAATGGAAAAATATGGTGCACTCTTGGACATCATGGCAGAATTGTATTGCAACAACTTTTCTGCTGTCGAAGCTGTTTGGTTGAGCTTTGCTGCAGTACAGTCTTACAAACTACACAATCTAACAGCAATGAAAACAGTTTGTTATTTCACAGCTTATGATATGCACAGGAAAATCTAATTTTGGCACAGGCATTTTAATGTTGTATCAGAAAAATGATTGCAATTACAGTGTACTTTCTGGAAGAGCATTCAGATAAATTGCAATACAATTGTCATCTTGTGTTGTAACCTCACATATCTACAATATATTCATAGTGAAGTGAGGGGCAAAGCTTCAGTTTTTGGAACCGTGTTGTACAAGAACAGGTCAACCCAGTCACGTTCTGGGAAATGCAGTCCTTCTCAGTTGTTTTGACTAAGTAACCCTTGGACTACATTTCTAAACTAGTGTTTTGGGCTGACCTGTTTTTTTAGAGCAGTAGTTCTCAGACTGTGGAGGATTTCAAGTGGTCCACAAGTTGATTGGCTGATTTAAAAACCAGAACTAAATAAATAAATAACAATGTAATTGACAAAAAGCACCAACACTGAATTAATTGACTGATTAATAAACTCAAAACAATTAATTACTGTAAATATGGTTTAAATGTATCTGTGATAGTGTTTTTTTGTTGTTGTCTTTCTTTAATAATGTTTTATTTTCATATTGTACACTACCGTTCAGAAGTTTGAGGTTGACAAGATTTTTTAATATTTTTGAATAAAAGTCTATGTTCATCAAAGCTGCATTTATTTGATTTAAAATACAGTAAAAACAGTAATATTGTGAAATGTTAAAGTAACTGTTTTATACTTTAATATATTGTGAAATGTACTTTTTTACTGTGATGGGAAAACTGATTTTCAGCAGTCATTACTCAGTCTTCAGTGTCACACGATCCTTCAGAAATCATTCTAATATACTGATCTGGTGCTCAAGAAACATTTCTTATTACTATAAATGTTGAAAACAGTTGTGCTGCTTAATATCTTTTTTCCACAGAATCTTTTGATAAACAGAAAGTTCAAAATAGCAGTATTTATTTAAAATCTTTTATGACATTATAAATGTCTTTGCTGTCACTTTTGATCTATTTAATGCTTCCTTGCTGAATAAAAGTATTAATTTCGTAAAAATAAAAGTTACTGACCCCACACTTTTCAACAGCAGTGTGCACTACCATTCAAAGTTATCAAAACATCAACCAATACTGATATTTAAAATATCATAAATGACTATTTCCAATTTAACATGACTACTGTATTATTCCAACTCTCTGTTTGTCATATGCAGCACTGACAGCTTATGCATTCTAGTCGTCAGTTTATGAGATATTTATAAGATTGCACCAGTATAGCACGAGTCTATACTCTGATGTATTCCTCATCTTGGTCATCTGGGCCATCCACGTCTCGCTCTGTGTTGTTTAGACAGTGTACAGAACAGCCTTCATTTCTCAAAAAAAAAACAACAGACTGGTATAGAAAGATGTTTTTGTGTTTGGCTATTTTTAAAATCAAAATTAGCCTCCGAAGTGTACAGTGACAGTGACAAGAAATCCAAGTGTACTCAGTAGATCAGCAACTGAAAAAGACACTGTACTGCCATTTAAACACTTCATTAAGCAGCACAATCATTTTAGACAGTGCTAATAAGAAAAGTTGTTCCATTACCAAATTAGTACATAGAAGAATCTCTTAAGGAATATTTAACACGTTTTTTAGTAGATAGCTACTGAAAACAGGGATTTTCAATCACAATTAAATTTAATATTTTACCATTTCAAACAATAGCAACATTTTACAATATAACGGTTTTTGATTGTACCATGATACATTAAATGCTACAATGGTGAACAAAGTCTTAGAGTTTCCAAACTTTTGAATGGTAGTATAATTGTTGAGTGTAACTTCTTTGTTAGCAAACACGGCTCATTTGGGCTGATTAGCTAAACACAGCAGTATGGTTATTTCAACAAAATAACAAAATTATGGATCCGTTAAAAAAAAAGGATAATTTCAAGATACAGGGTAAAACATTAAGGCTAATTTGTACACTAATCAAAACCGTAAGAAATTGCTTTGAAGTAGTTGCTGTCCCCACTCCCCCATATTTTTTGGTCTGTTTAAGTGGTCCGCCACCTGAAACAGTTCAAGAGCCACTGCTTTAGAACAACACTTGATAGTTCACAATGGAAGATTGAACAACAATATTCGTGCAGTTTTGTGTGAAAGTAAGAAGGCACTTCTGGTTCAACTTAAAAGTGAAGGTTGTCGCCATGGAAATGTCAGATCAAGGCTGCTAACATAATGCAAACAAGCCTTCAACATGCACAATGGTGTCGTATATGTGAGAATGATAATAACACAGGCAGCATTCAGTCACAGTACCGTACTTCAGACGAGACCCTCGCTAAAAGAAAAGAAACAGAGAGGAGACAAGGACAGAGGCAGACGGAGACACGCTACAACTCCACAACCACGCGTCTTTGCTTTGACAACGAGGAACAAAAAAAAGGGCGAAGTGGGACAAGGGTGTAGGGTGGGGAGGTCAGAAAAACGGCAGGGTTGGTACGGATCTCTAAGAAGAGGAACCACGGACTCGAGGAACAAAAACAAAATAAAATATTTGAGAGGCCAAATTGGGGGCAGGACTTTCACAGAGCAGAGCAGATGTGCCTAAGTGTGTGTATGTGTGGACGTGGTACGTGTGTGTTAGACTACAAGCTACGAAACGAGCCAAAGGTGGATGCTCTCACCACGGAGTTGTACTGCGTCTCACAGTAAGATCTTACTGTGAACTCCATGTCCTCCTCCTCTTTCTCCTTAGCTTGTTTCTCAGGTTCATCCACATCCTTCTCCTGCAGGTAGGTGTCCTGATCCTGTGGCATATATGACATCTCGTCCTTATTTTTTAACTCAAGACTCAATATGGAGGGGGGCAGTAGCAGGCCTAAGATAACCTGGCGGACAAAACAAACAAACAAACAGAGTTTAGGAGAAAAATCCACTGTTACTTTTCATTATTTAGAAGTCAGTAGACCAGTTCCTGCAGTCACAGAATGCTTGTGATGATGAAATACCGGTCTCTGTCTTTCTTGCTACAGTAGCACCTGTGAGATATGAAACACCAATATCACCACTGAGGTCTGAACCAAAGGCAGAAATAAACCATGCAGAAAGGGAGAGAAACTCAAGGAGAAGCCCTGCACAGCTTGTTTTTTATATACAGTGTACTGTATGTCTGACAATGTGTCTAAAAGTTACAGCTTTGACTGTTCATGTTTGGGGTCGGCTGTATTTATTTGATCAAACATACAGTAAAAACAGTAATATTGCAGAATATTAAAACAATTTAAAATAACTGTTTTCTATTTCATGTTTTAAAATGTAATTTATTCCTGTGAGGCAACTCTGAATTTTCAGCAGCCATTATTCCAGTCTTCAGTGTCGAGTGACCCATCAGAAATAATTCTGTGCTGATTTGGTGCTCAAGAAACATTTCTTATTATCACAGTTGAAAGCATTTGATCAGGTGCTGCGACAGGAACAACACTGTATTTTCTTCTCAACAGGAATTGGATGGTTTCAGAGAATTTTGAAGGACTAGTCTAAGGTGTCAATTTTGTCCTTTCACATCCTGAAGTAGCAGTATGCCAACTGTCCTTTTCTAAAGTCCCAAGAATGATATGGTTCCACTAGTCCACTATTTTGGGGTCTATATTCCTTGCTTAAAGGGATAGTTCACTCAAAAATGGAAATTATTCCATGATTTACTCACCCTCAAGCCATCCTAGGTGTATATGACTTTCTTCTTTCAGACGAATAGAATCAGAATTATATTAAAAATGACCTGGCTCTTCCAAGCTTTATAATGGCAGTGAATGGGGGTCAAGATTTTGAAGCAAAATAAAGTGCATGGGGGTTAATAAAGGCCTTCTGAAGTGAATCGATGCATTTGTGTAAGAATAATATCCATATTTAAAACTTTACAAACCGTAATCTCTAGCTTCCACTAACTGTCCTACGCGTGTTCATGCTCTTTATTTTGCTTCAAAATCTTGATCACTATTCACTGCCATTATAAAGCTTGGAAGAGCCAGGACATTTTTCATATAACTCTGATTGTATCCGTCTGAAAGAAGGCAGTCATATACACCTAGGATGGCTTGAGGGTGAGTAAATCATGGGGTCATTTTCATCTTTGGGTGAACTATCCCTTTAACTTTGGAACCTGCAGTGACAGCAGCAACATTGTATATGCCACTATTTCCCATTTTTATGCCGTTTTCTGTAATGTGTCCAGATTTGGATACCGCCTTCATTAAAAAAAAATATTTTCCCATATCTTTGTGAATTTAATTTCTTTACATAGCCCACCAGTTTAATTTGTACATCTCCTGACAACAAATGTTCCTGTCATTGTGGTGTCTCTCGAGCAAGAATGATAATTAGAATAGAGATTAAGAAATCTATTGCTGAAACAGCAGTTGCTGGCCTAATGTTGATGAGGACATGGTAAATACAACAAAAATGACTGATTCAGCTATGCAAAGACTCACTTTGGCAGGCAATTTCACCACATACAGTGGGTACGGAAAGTATTCAGACCCCCTTAAATTTTTCACTCTTTGTTATATTGCAGCCATTTGCTAAAATCATTTAAGTTAATTTTTTTTCCTCATTAATGTACACACAGCACCCCATATTGACAGAAAAACACAGAATTGTTGACATTTTTGCAAATTTATTGTGCTGTGTGTACATTAATGAGGAAAAAAAATTAACTTAAATGATTTTAGCAAATGGCTGCAATATAACAAAGAGTGAAAAATTTAAGGGGGTCTGAATACTTTCCGTACCCACTGTATATGCCAAATATACATGTTGAATATATATATCATATATTATATAACAAAAAATATGAACCCAGAGTAAGCCCTCTGCAATAACTGATATTACTGTATGTAATACATCTATCAATGAGACTATGGTCTTAGCCATCTTTCTCCAAAATCTGACCTTTAGGCCAGAGTTCTTGCGCATACGCAGACGTCCCATCCACATGTCGGTGAGAAGCATCTGGCTACACGTGTGGGCGATGAAGTCCCTGTGCTTGGCAGCCACTGCCAGCTGCAGACAGGTGGCATTACTCCAGTTCTTCAGCTCGTAGGTTAACAGCTTCATGGCCATCTGTTCATCCTGCTTATATGACTGATCGAGCAGCTCAACAGCCAGCTGACCAAACTCCCTGATGGATAAAAAAAGAAAAAAAAAATCTGTGCCACAGACACATTTATATGCACACATAAACACACAAGGCCATCGCTACACAAAAACAACAGCTTGTTTTAGGTATGCAAACAGGATAAGCAAGTCTCAAATACCATTACTAAGAGGAAAGTGTGCACATTAGACTTTTATGAATTTTAGAGGAGTCTTTGTGGTCATTCACTGTGCCTTTGATGGGATGCCAGTTTGGCATGTAACAGATGGTCTCCCCAAACTTCCCCACCCAAGAGTCGTATACTCAACAGCAATGGGAACAGGACATGCAGATGAAATCCTCATTCAAATGCTCATCCTTGAGGTAACTAGGTCATAACACATCTTTACATTCATACCTTGAGTTTTGATTGAGTTCCTGTGAAATGTCATCTACCATGTCATTCTCTGAAGCTTCGTGGGCCATTGCCTTACAGAGCTTACAGGCCACCAGCGCTTTAGCCATGGCCTCCTCGCCATGCTGCCAAAAGAACAGGGCCATCTTCTGGCGTTTCATCAGCACTGCCCAAACCATCAGCTCATGGAACGGGAAAGGGAAGTAATTGATTTCTGGGTCATCCAAGTCAATGTCTACTTCCTCCTCTCGCTTCCTTGTGGTCTTCTGACGTCCTCGCCTAATGGGCATGTCATCCTATATGATAGAGATTTTTTTTTTAAATCATATTTTTTCTTTATAATAATAATAATAACAAAAATAATAATAACCATCATTGAGAATATAAATAATAGGTACTTTGTTGTCCTGGTTTACTCTTTTCATTTTAATATGTATATAATATTAACCAGCAATATGTATTAATTAAATGTAACAACAACAACAACATTATTATTATTTATTTATTATAAATATAATTAATATTAAAATAGCATAATACGACAAAAAATTACTTATAATTTATATCCTGAATCTGGTAATTAATAGTAAGAGGACCAGTAAACACAAAAGTAAGATAATTGTAGGTAATTATAGTATTTGAATTGTTTTCATAAAAACCTCTGAACATGCAATACAAGGAGCATTTTCATTGTGAACCTTCATTATTTGAATCCAAACCTCCATATCAAAGAAGCGCTTAAAGAAAGCGTTGCAATGAAACTCAGTGGGGATTTTATTGGAAAGCAGTGGGATACATGAAATTAAGAAATAAATCTCACCTCCATTCCAAGCAGCTTCAGGGCTTTTGGCTACAACACACACAAAAATAAAAACACATACAGGACAAAAATAACAAGACATGTTAGATTTGATTTATGCATTTTCCAAATCGTTTCACCATCCTTCTGGCACACATGTAAAAACATGGCATGTTTAATGAGTAGATAGGATTCTTTATGCTATGCAATGATACATTCAGAGCATCTCTCTGGTGGCACCGCAGATGTCTGATCTATTTAAAGCTTGTATGGTGGCATATGTAGATCAATGTATGTGCATATGTGCATGTGAGATAAAATGTACTCACAATATTGAAGTGCATGAATAGATTCATAAATACACACTCTCAGACACACATCATGTACTAGCAATCTACTATTAAAGATAAAACGCTCCCGTGACATTGGCATGATGGAGCAGCAATGTTTAATGTCCTGACACCCCCTGAAATCTGTGTCAGAGGGTCGAGATTTGTGACTTAGATGCCTGAGCCTTCAGAGGTGTTAAAAATGTGTGAGAAAAATAGATATCATCCAGGTGTCAGTGGCTTGAGTTGTCTTGGGTCCTCTTTACTCTGCAGCTGAAGAGCTGCTATATGGAAATTTGCTCTGCACTGAGTATCTAGTTTGTGTTAGTTCCATATGCCATCTCTCTGTGGCAGCTCTGATGGGAAATACTTTTTTCCCAGGTGGGTCATGCTGATAGATAAAAAAATAAAAATAAGAACTGCGCAAAACACATTACAACTTCCTTTGGAAAAATGTTTCCATTTATGGGAAACTGAGGGAATAATCTTGTGTTTGAAAGCAAGTATAACATTTTTATTGTGTTATTTAGAAGTGAATATATTCATCACCCAGCTCAAAAGATGTTTTAATAGCACATTAAAATAATAATAATAATACAGATTTTCATAATATTAATAATATTTTGAGAATCTCTTAATAGGCCTTTTATGAGAACACAATCATAAAAGAAAAGAATAAAGAAACATTAGAAAAGTAAGTCAAAAGTTAAACATTATGACCATTTTATTCTCTTACCATTCCAAAATCATTCTTAAAATGTTACGACTATATTCTAGTAACATGACTATTCTAGTCATTCTATGCTGATTTGGTGCTCAAAAAACATTTCTTATTATTATCAAGGTTGAAAACAGAGGTACTGCTTAATTTGTTTTTTTCTACTTTACATTTTTTAAGAAAATACATTTCAAAAGAATAGCATTTATTTGAAATAGAAAATGTTTGGTATGTAAGTCTCTACTGTTACTTTAAATGCATCCTTGCTGAATAAATATTTTCTAACAAAACAAAACAAAACAAAATAAAAAACAAAACAAAACAAAACAAAAAACAAAAGAGGATGTTGTTAATGTGTCTCAGTTAGCAGGGGTCCTCAACTCTGGACCTCGAGATCTACTTTCCTGCAGAGCTTAGCTCCAACCTGGATTAAACACACCACAGGAAAGTAGATCTCTATGGAATAAAATCGCTGTCAAAAATAATCGTACGTAATTCAAAGCATTTGTGTGTCATTTTAATTTACTCGTGCGTAATTTAAAAGTAATGTATGTAATTCTGTTTTTTGTCAGAGTTGGATTCCAAAATCTACGGCCACGACAGTTTACAGATACGAGATTTTGTGTGTTTGTTAGAGTACAACTCCAAAATGTACGACTATGACAGTTTACAGACACAACGCTTGTTTTCACAACAGCTCTGTTACACGCACGACATGCGAATTGCGACACGAAGTGCATTACGTACGATTATTTTTGACAGCGATTTTATTCCATAGATCTCGAGGTCCAGAGACCTGTAGAGCATGGTGCTAACATGACGTCTTTTTTCTTGTAATGTTACAAATTCATTTTTGAAATCTTAGTATGATGCCCTTTTAGAACTACATGCCATTTTTTTCAATAACATACTCTTTTGGGTCCAAAAAGGTTGTGATATAGGGTCCGAAATCTCTTCCTGGTGTAATTGCAGCGATAGGCTCCACCCATGAGGTATTCAATTACCAATCCGATGTCAATCAGGCTGATGCGGTAGTCAGGGGGCAGGTTACCCTGAAGACAAAAAATTTACTCATGGCAACACTGTACCTGTGCCAACAGTTATGGCTATGAAAATACGAACAAACCGTAAGGTCAGCAATCAACCACACGCTCAACTACATACACACCCATACACTCTCACTCCACAAACACACTGACATATTGCTAGAAGGAATCAAGATAATTAAAGAAGATTGTCTGATTCACCTTGAGGTAGATCCAACTGAACCCTGGATATTCTTGCTTGGAAAGAACACACAAGGTCAGTGAGACAGAATCATATTAAAGGGACAGACATCCCACTGAGACCAAGCAAGTCTAGATCTTAATAATTTTCTATTCTTAACAGTTTTAAATTCATTTTAAACCTCTTAAATCAATTTTGAAATCATTTTCAAAGTTTTTAAATTCCTTGTTTTATTGTTGTGATTATTTTTTTCTTTTCTTTTATGTAAAGCACTTTGAATTACCATTGTGTATGAAATGTGCTATATAAATAAACTTGCCTTGCCTTGCCTATATTGAACTGACCGTGAAAACAATGAGCCTCTCTACAAAAACAAAAACAATAGAGAGTAAGTGCGTAGGAGAGAGAAAGTGAGTGAAAATGAGAGAATGGATCCACTAATGGGCAGGACAAAGAAAGAGCAGGGGGAAGTGATAAGGAACGATGCCTCAGTTGCTAATTTAATGATTCGACTTTAATGATTCGGCCAAATCCCTTTGAGCAAAATTACATCCCACATCCTGCCTTCACACTATGATAACTAGACTCTGCTCTGGTTCTGTAATTACCAACGCAGAGCCACCATGGATCCTCTAAGCTGGGCTAATTACTTCTACCTCAGCAAATGCCACAAAATGCTTCAACTGGCTGATCGGAATCACAGGTGATGCTGCATTTCATTTGTGCAAGACATTTGTACTATGTGACACCCGTTTTAACATCATGTTAATCTCCAGGGACACAGAGAAGGTTTGTGCCTTCAAATTGCAAAAAAGACTAGACTTAAAACCTCACGGTGTATCTGCATTGAGTCTTTTAAAAGTAGAAATGGCAGTTTATGCACAAATGTCACTACAAGAAGACTGCGAAAATCCCCAGAGTGCAAAAAGAAGGCAACCATGTGCCCCATTATGTCTTGAAAATGCACTTAGGAATAGTAATTAAGAAAAACGAACTATACACAAGTGACCTGAGAAGCAACAAACCCATTGTTCTGACTGTTTTATAGTCTGAAAATCACTGAAACAAGCAGGAGAGGACACAGACAGAAAAAAAGCCACTAATTGGCCAAATCTCTCTGTCAGGCTAAGAAGCAGGAAAGACACCTTTGCTATATATGCAACAGAAATCTAAGACTAATCTACCACTTTCACTCACACTCTGAAATCCACTCACACACACACTCAGCTGTATGTACAGTGAATTCTTACCTTTTTCACATCTCTGACAAGGTGGTACAAGGTGTTGGATGGACCATGCCTCTATTTGAGACAAACAGAAACAAATATAACCTTTAACAATCAATTACATCAAACCACAAATAATAATTTAAAAACAAACAAGAACATGTGTGGTTGTTCCCTCAAAGGGATTGTTCACCCAAAAACATGAGGGTGAGGTAATGATGCCACAAATTTAATTTCTGGGTCAACTATCCTTTTATGAAGCTAAATCTACCTGATATCACCTTTAAATTTTACTCTCCAAGTAATTCAATGTTACAAGTCATATTTTTGGTCTTAAACCAGTTAATTTAAAATTTACCTCATGTAGCATATTGTGGGATTGACAAAAAAATTTTTTTTCAGTGATTAAACCTATATTTTCACTTTAGGTCATTATATATATTTAAACACACACACAGAATTCTCTGAATGTGGATTTTCAGAATTCTTTGATCAATAATTTTTTTCTTCTTTTTCTAGTAGAACGGTAGTGTATGTATGGGGAAACAGACATACAGTACAGTGGGACCCAAAAGTCTGAGACCACATTGAAAAACCAGGATTCAAAATCTCATTTAAATCTGACATATAGCTACATTACCGTATTATAGAGCTCTTCAAGTCTGGACAGTGTCAGGAAGCGGTGCATGCTCACTCCATTCTCAATCAACAGCTTCACAAAGTCCACTCTGTCCAACACCAGTGCATCCAGCATTGACTGTTCTAGAGAGCCCACCTAACCACACATAAACAAAGCTTACAGGTCCAGAAGACACACTACCAGCACACAATAAAACAGACATACAGGTGCACAGCAATGAATTGATTTCATGAATTTTAATCTGGTTGAAATGCAGCCTGCCATCATTAGCATCTACCATGTTTAATTAGAGTCAGAGTTGCACAGAAGTGCTTCTCGTCCCCTCTGCAATCAATAAAGCATCTCTGTATCTATATCTAAATGAATTACAGAGGTGGAGTGAGTGGATATTGCCTACAGGCCACTGCTGTCCATAAATGAAGATCTGGCTTCGAGCGATGTCAACTCTGTTCCAGGCCAAAGCCAGGCTCAGTTGATCTGGAGCTGATGCATTGGCCCCTGGACAGCCAAGCAAAAGGGCACATAATTAAGGTTAGTTCACTTGCTTTAACAAAATCATCTTAAAAAGCCCTGGGGAATATGTTAACGAGAACATATACAATGATGGATGCAGTGTGTAGCTAAATGCCTATTAAACATTACTAATTTTCCAGTCTGATGTCTTTAAAATCATTGGCATGCTTAAACACCCTCAACTCCCATTGATTTACAAGTGCCTCGCACAGTGGAGAATTCTAAGGAATCCCTGGCTCTCACATCATTACAATGCATAGCATTATGCCTGTTTAAAAAGCTGATTCTAGAGATAAATCACAGAGGAAAGCACTCTCCAGTGTCTCTGGCACTTTGCTCCGCTCCTGCTAATAAACCTTCCCCCTGAGCAGCAGGACATTTGTCTTTACTTATTCTGGCCTGGTGCTTCTACATTTACTTTTATGAGGGTAATCTTTCCATACACAGTCTATTAAATAGACACCTCCGTGGCTTGTTTAGGTGTCGCCATGTATTAAACCATATTTGCATAATCTCAGTTAAGTGCTCGAAAATATCCTGACCGACTCCATTTATGGGACATGGGGGTCTGTAATACTTGGAAATGGCCATGTGGGGCACCTTGTGCTATTGTAGTTCATGATGTATTGAGTTACTGTATTGATGCCAGATGAAACAAGTCCTCAGCAACGGTAAGGCGCTGTATCAGCAAAGTCACATAATTATGTATAATTAAGTCTCTGAAGATGAGCTTTAATTGCTGTTTTTTTGTTGCTTTAACTCCAGCAGAGGTTAGCTTTATGTTCTCGCTTTAATTTCACACTACATCATAATAAATCCTGACACTTTCTGTATTTGTTCAGACATTCACAAGTGTGTTCAATGAAACAAATGTGTAACCCCTTTTGCATGGCTAAGACAGAGCTACTGATAAAAGCGTGATATAAAATTGCATGTTTTCAGTCATTAGCACATCATACACTCTCTAAATCGAAAATGAAAATCCAAAATCTGATTAAAATTAAATGATATATGAGTGAATCCCCTGCTGTACCACTGCAGACCTCTTAGATACATATGAGTATCCACAAATGTACAAATACCTTTCAGAAGAGCTGTTAGAATGGCCAGATCAATGTCCTGGTGTCCCTCTGATCCCATCCGAAATACTGTTATCTGAGGAAGGGAGATATTGCATTATTGCTGGCATCACATGAACATCACAACTGTTTGAGTATGATAGCATGATAAAGGCAAATCCAATCATAGTGATAACTGCTTTGCGTCTTGGCAATAGCAAAGAGAAATGACAAGAATAGAGCTAGAGGGATTTACGGAAATGCGCTGCAAGCACCGACATAACTGTAATTGCAGTTCTGTAATCACTGCAACGTTGCATATGAAGGGCACCTTGCAGCACCATGCAATGTGTGTATTCTGAATTCCATTAATGTTCGCCTGTCATTTGAACAATCCACCTTTCTTTCAGTAGCCATTTTCCATCTGTGTCTGGTATGGACTAATGAACTTATGTGTGGAAGTGGGAGGATTGGTTCAGCCTAATGTCAATGATGTTTTCATTTTCATCCCCTCAAGCCACCATGAAATGATGGCACATTTAGGGTGTGTGCGAGCTTGAGAGGTGGAATAAAGAATTGGAGCACTTCAACGAGCTTAAATAATGGAACATATAATCCTTCAAAATGTCTTATAGTTCAGAAATGATGCATAAAGTAATGGTGCTATGCTTAGGTCTTGTGTGGTGAGGTTCTGTGTGCATTATGACATCTTTTTGCTGTTGAATTTGGAGAATAAATGGAATGTAATCATATCGAACAAGCACTTTATCTCCTCTACAAAGAGTATTGTGATGGCCAATTACTGAAGTGACAGTTATTGATGACCCTGTGACTATTGAGGTGAGGTGACCCAACTCTCTCTCTCTCTGTGTGTGTGTGTGTGTGTGTTTGAGGCATGAGAGATATTGACCTTTAAAATACGTATGTCCCTATACAGTATGCCGATTTGACCCCTATTGTTTATCCTATGAGAGAACAAATATTATGATATCAATGTATTGATTTTCTTTTATTATTTATAATAATATTAATACTTTTTATAATAAATGAAATAAATGTTCATTTTGCATGTGTATAAACTCCAAACAGTCAACCTTAGTTCATCAAATTAATAAATACATAAATACAAATAAAATAAACAAAATAAAATCAATAAAAAAATTAATAAATTCTGTCATCATTTACTCCCCCTCAAGTCGTTCCAAACCTCTATGAATTTCTGCTGAACATAGAAGATATTTTGAAGAACGTTGGTAACCAAACATTTGATGGTCCCCATTGACTACCATAGTATAGAAACAAATACTATAGAAATCAGTGGGGACCAGCCTGTGTGAAAAAAATTCACACAGGACTGGAACAACTTGATAGTGAGTAAATAACGATGTGTACCCACCATCATGTCTATCCAAACCTGTATGACATTCTTTCTCCTGTGGAACACAAAATTAAATATCCTGATAAATGTTTCAACAGTTTTATAACTGTTCCAAAGCAACACTGGACCCCACTGACCTCTATTTTGTGGATTTAAAAACAAAAATCAAGACAAAAAGAAGGAAAAAGTCATACAGGTTTGAAATGACATGAGGTTCAATAAATCATGACAGACTTTACTGTTTTGGATGAACTTTGCTTTTACATTCAACACACAATACTCAAACTCAGCAGGAGAGAGAATCAGACACTGTTAGCTCTTTTCAAAAAATTTTAATATCCATATTGAGTACACAGCTGACCTATGGGACATGTCTGTGATTTATGAGCTAGTAGCTGAATGGAACAGGTCAATAAAGGATATTTAAATAATGTCCATATGCCTCAGAGGACGTTTTAACAACTAAAGCACCCATTCGCTGCTGAATCTTTTTAACACAGGTTATGCCTCTACTAATATTAAGCAATATTTGAAAGAAAATGTAATCTTATTTTATTTTGCAGACATCACAGAGATCTTGAAATGCACCTTGGCCAGGCTGTCATGTCCACATGCTTCAAATCAACCTCCATCATCCGAGTGCCAAAATGACTTTTGCCCCACTGCATTTAATCCAGTTACTGTGTGATTCTAGTGTTTTAAGAGACTGCATGGGCACCGCAAACATTAAGACTCCCTTTCCACAATGGACCTCCAAGCACACACCTGCAGGCACAACTGTTCCATGGATGATGGCATTGCATTTGTCATCCTTATTGCACTTTGTTACCTAGAAAACAGAATCTCATAAGTCAAACTGCTGATGTTTACTTCATCTCGGAATTGATCACAGTCTTTCCCCAGACCCTAACAAACTTGCTGCAGTTAGACTAAGCAAATAACTCTGTCCTCCTAGACCTCAGAAGCAACAGCCTTGAGGCAGTAAAGATCCACAGTCATTCGTAATACCACGAGTGTATCTCCAAATATCAGAGCAATCATTAAGTCTGCATACAACGCCCCTGTTGAGGGGCTCATTAGCATCATTAATGGCGAGTCAGCCTAGGGAAGAGGTGAGAAAGCTTGCAACCTGGTACTGGAACAACAACCTCTCTATTAATGCTAGTAACAAAAAGAGATGATTGTTTACTTCAGATGGTCCCGAGCAGTTCATTACTCGCAGCACATCAACAATGGAGATAACAGGCAGCCTTAGGTTAATGGGTGTTCGCATCACCAACAAATTGTCATTGGTTCTGAACGCCTCTTCTTTGTTGAAAACACAATGGCACCTCAACATCCTAATGGGGTGTTCACAATGACAACTGTAAGAGGCAGCGGATGGCATCTTTAATCCCATTGGTAGTCACCATGTCGCATCACTGCTGATTTGCATACATTCGCAGTCGATCATGTCACGTTGTCGGAAAGCTCTGCCAACCACAGTGTAAATTTCAGTAAAATGTGCCCATAACACAATAAATATTGATTGGATATTGCTCTTACATGGGCTGGAATGAACTGTGAAATTGCAGAGCATTTTTATCATTTGTTAAATGACACAATATGTGATTAAAAATGGATGCTAACGCTTCTCACAATCAACTGAAAAGCTTTGTCTGAAGTAAACCTCAATTAGTGATGAAATTCTCAGATCTGTCCTTTTCAAAAATATTCACAGTGATCTAAGTCAATGCGCAAATGAAACAACGTTAAGTTCAAGCTAGAATACACTTCTTTTAAAATCTGAACATATTTTCAAACACTAGGCACCATACACTTGCAGACTTTGTAAACGACAACAGAAAAACTGGGCATCATTCACTAAAGCGAGGAACTGTCAATTCTGGTCTACTACATGTGTCCTTTCCTGAAGGAACTGTGTTTCTTTTTTCTCCACTGCCATGAAATGTGCTAAAAATGATTACGTTGATAGCAACTTACCTTTGATAGTCTGATGCTAAAAAAAATCTAAGTCTGTGCTTAAAATATTTTCTGCCAAATATGCCCAAAATCTGCAGACTGGCTCTGATTTTGGCAACTAGCATCAACTGCAAATAGTATATTCCTTTCTTAAAACAGTGTTCAGTATGGGAATGAGACTTTTTAAAAAAGATTTGGAATGTGTGTGTGTGTGTGTGTGTGTGTGTGTGTATGCAACATTTGCTAAGGTTGGACTGGTTCAGAGATATTTTAAGGTGGGTGTTAACGAAAACTTTCAACTGAAGAAGAATGAAAATGATTCAGGTTGCTTTGTCGCATTACACATACACTTTAAAGAATATGAAAAGAATATTATTTTTAATACAACTATACTTATTGATATTATATTTATTGACAGCAATGTCACATAATCACATTACCAAAGAAAATAATATCAACATGTCCCTCAGTTTGCAAACACTAAGGCAAATGCATTAATGGCACTTACTGTGCAGCTTAATATTTTCTTGTCAAATGGAGGTTTTAAAACAGAACTGTGTGGGTCTTATATAAATTATTCAGTGATTTTATCTATGTACACGTTTTTCCTTGAGTTGAAAGTTTTTGTGGTATCAACAACAACATTCTGTCTATAGAACTATATTATGTTCCAGAATATTCCTTTAAGAGATTCAGGTCTGCAACTCCCCATCCTTATTCCTTACCAGCCTCTACAGGTTCGTCAAAGAGAGCATACTGACCTGCTGCATAAGTGTCTGTTATGTCAAATTGCTTCAGTTTTGAGCAAAACTGAAGCAATTTGCATGTGAGTAGTGAAAATAGCCGTCCATCTCACAGGCTTGTCTTCCTGCTGTTAAGGGTTATCTCTACATTGAGAGGTGTGAAATTATGGCCAGCAGGAGCTTATGGAAAAAAGCTAAGGAGAGATTCTGTTATACACTATAGCCTACTTAAATTTACAGAGATTAGAGAGCTTTTATTAGGGGCACAAATAGAAGCACAAAAAAGGGAGTCTTTTCCCATGTGCCAAACCTTCCTGGAAATATTCAGGGCACCGTTCAAGACTTAACTAAACCTTCAGCAATTTCAGCAACCTCTGTTATATCAGTCGAAACATCTGCAAGGAATAGTTTTTAATTAAAATCAAATTGAAATATGATTCATCTGTGTAAACTTGATCGAAGCAGTGAATTTGAATGCTAAAGTCGAGATGGTGTGTACAGTAAGTCTGTATCTAACGCTCACTGGAGAGCTGGCAAATGCTGTTCTCGCTGTACAGTGGATTGCTTCATGCATCAGTGACCCAGGCACATTAGCAACCATTCATCTTCATTTATCAGGGGTGAAATTTCCTTCCTCACCCTCCCTCCACTCCACCAGCCCAGCGCTTTCACATCATCTTAGATTCTACTGCAGTGCTCTACTCTGTTCCTCACATCTACCAGGGGTTTGTGTCTCCTCTGTCTGTCAGCTGTCCATCCACTTGTACATCCATATAGTCACTGACCCATTCGACATGTGGCTGAATGTGACTCCATCTTTCCATCCATCAACATCACCTGAGCAACATGTCAGCCCATGAAACATCACTCCATTTCCTTTCAAACTGTGAAAAATAATGACTGTTGACGAGCAAGTTTCCTCTAACGCTCCCTTCATGGGTCATAAGTCCCGCCCCCGACTCACATTATTGGTTATTGCCATGGGATGCTAAAACCAAACAGAAAAAGCAACCA